CCTGCGCGTGCCGTTCTAGTCCCGGTGCTCGGTGACAGCAGCTGCTAAAGTTTACAGTTGCGCGAGTTCGGTTCGAGTTGAGTTCAGTTGAGTGTTTTGTGTAATTCGCCAAATAAGATTTTTGCCCAACTTGCCAGCGTTGTCGCACTACCAGGCTAATTAAAAATTTGTCATACTAATTAAACACACAAACAGACTTTCACACACACACACACACACGCGCGATGCAGCCTGAGTGACAGCCATACAGCATGCGGCTTATGCTGAATCAGTGCGTCCCCAACCTCGAAAATGCTACGACATAACAAGCGCAAGTTTCCAGTAATTATATTTTGGCTAAGTGAAAATGTTAGACAAGCTGCTTTAGTTGCTTTCGCTGCTTTCTCTGCCTCAGCATCCACCTCGAATTCTCCATAATATTTCATGCTGTAATTTTAGGCGCATTTGCATTTTTTAGTTGGCTGCGTGCCGCTCCATTCTAGCCGCCCCCCCCCCCCACCACTCACACACCCCCACTCACACCCCCACAGCACAAACAAAATATTCACCTGCATTCTGTTGCATACTTTGCGGCACCAAAAACTGCTGAGTGGTTAGCATGTCAGTGATGGTTGGTTGAGGGGCGAGCACGCGTCTGCGGCCGCTAACAATGCCAGCGAAACGACAGAATTTTAATGAGATATCTCTGACGGCAGCTAAGCCGTGATCCAATTTCAGTTAGCACCCCGAGCATGACGGCATGAGGCATTATGATTTTGCCACCGCCTTGGAATTATGTAACAAATGTTGAAAAGACATTCCTAAAATACGAAACTTGTATAAAAATAATTTTTTGTTGTTGTTGTATTAATATTTAGTTGAACTAAAAAAATGCCAAAAATTGTAACAAAGAAAGCTACAATTACTGCATAGATCCTGAGGACTCATATGAATAATATTAAAGCAGTTTACATGATTCCTGTAGAAACAAGGAAGCGTAGCCTGCCAGACTTTTGCGCAGGCTAAAACGATTAGGGTTCGCCAAGACAGTTAGATAACAACAAGTGAACCCCCGCTTATAAATTCTCGCACGAAAGTGGTTGAGGTAGGTCTATTTTGTATTATATTTGTCAACCTGTATGGTTAAGAAACTAAATCTGAATATAGGGATTCAATTCTTATGCCAAATATAGAGAAAAAAAAAAGACGGGAAATTATTGCTCTCTGAAATCGTTTTATTTAAAGGCTGATCTCTAACTAAAAGCTATTCTCCTATTTATGCAGATGATGTGGAATGGTTGCAAACGCATTCTTTTATGAAACTGATCTTTGTCACAGTAATTAATCAGTAATTGTTGCAGCATATTCATCCTGCCTCTAAAGCTTCGTCAGTGGTCTTTTTCTTACCAAAAAATTTAAAAAAAAATATCTGAATTAAAACTCCCAAGACACTGTAAATAATAAAGGAATCTAAACCACCCCTTTTATAAAAATTAAGGGATAAGCTTATGATGAGTCACTAACTATGGAGAACAATAGCTACGGTACATTAATAATATAATAACACTAATATTATAATAACTATTTTTGTATTACGATTAAATGGAAAGCCCTATTGAAACAACAAAGAATGAGCTCGTGGTAGCACGTATAACAAGATAGCATTGGAACTCAGGAAAAGATTTTAAAATAAATAAAACAATCAAGCTAACGATATCTATCATAACTTCTAAAATGCAATGCTCAGCAGTAATCGGATAATTATATTCAAAGTCAATTAGGGGATTGCATTTCAGAAAATAGCCAGGAACTAAAGCAAAACATACACAAAAAGCGTTATTTGTAAAAGTCTTTGTTTCGTTTTTATATCTTATTTTAATTAAAATAAAGAGTTTAATAGGAACACCAACTACTTTTCTTAGTAAATAGATTTTTTTTTAATAAAAAATATCCTGGGGCCAATTATCATTTGGCTGTTCTCATAACAACAACACCAAATATTATGTGAGACCAGCTGCCACTATTGTGTGCCATTATTATTATCAAAATGCAAATTTACACTATTTATGCAATTAACTCGGCGAAAAGGCAACAATTTCATACATTAATTTAATTATAAATATTAATTTAAGTGCAGCCATTTAATGCCATGAAGCGTAAGATATTTGGCTGAGGGCTATTTATTGACAACATGAAATAATAATAAAAACTAATAACATTCTGTTCGAATGCGTAATACGCTCCATTTTGAAAGAACCTAAACACTAGGCTTAACTTTCATTTGTATAACATGAAAGGCTTTCATGAAAACTTTAGCTCTTAAAAACTTTCGGATCTTGATGAGGACGACCACAATTTGAAAAGATTTTAACGACAAACCGTTTGAAAGGGTATTCAAGCAAAGAATGTAGCCGCTTGGTTTCGTCTTTTTTCACATTTACTGCAAGCAATTTCGCTTGTTAATGAAATTTGCATTTGCGTTACGTGCAGCGCAAAAAAATGTTAGCTCGCTTTTTCGGTGATGCGCGCTATAAATTAGAAAATCAAGCGTTTTATGCTAATGCGACCGCCCACTTCGCTATGCCATCCGTTTAGTGTTGTCGCCTACAACAACCAGCACTTTGAAAAGTTTTTTCCCTCAAACCAAGAGCCACTCCAATTTGTTGCGCATGGATATCCTCTTTGCTCTTCATTTATTTTTTGGTCCTGTTTTCCCTTTTGCAATTTCAGTTAGTCAATGTGCGCAAACTAGTCAAGCAAATGAAATTACTCATACGCTACGTTTTCAATTTTGATAGAACTGCCAAGCGATTTGCAGCAGAACGCAACCCGCTCAACAAATTTAAGTGTGTGTGTCTGTGTGTGTGTGTGTATGTATGTATGCGTGTGCCTGACTATGTGTCGTAAAAGTAAAACGTAAAAGCAAAGAAGATCTAGCAGCAGACAAGTAGAGGAGCAAAAATAAAAAATAAAAAAACTAAGCTGATTACTGCGCAAGGAAATCAAATGAAAAGTCGACGAAATAAATTTCATTGCAGCATTAAATGAAAATGGAGTCGAACTGAGGCAAAGCTGTTGTCATGGATGTGGGTGAGCAAATCCGCATTGATTTCTTTATTGCAATTTTATTTGATTGCGCTCATATGAAATTACGCATACGCAATGTTGCCGCCGCACACTTGAAACAATGCACACACACACACACAAACATAAGCACACATTCAGTCACAAACAAACAAGCGCTCAACTCTCATCAACTCTTATCAGCGAACAGCATCAAGAACACAGGCAGAGATGGAGACGAAGTCGCAATTGTTGCCAACGACAACATCGTCAACGTAACAACAACAACAACAACAAAAATAACAACAATCAAGCAAACGGCAACACTTACAGCAGCAGTGAGCTAAACGCCTCTATGAGATTGGGGTTCACAGAGGGACAGAGGGAGTGGGAGGAGCGGCTGAGAGCAGGAAAGACGTAAACGTAAACGTTAGCGCAAATGTCTAAAACGTAAATGTGTCACGTAAATGGAGCGTAAATTTCAATAAAAATCATTTCAATTTCGTCGAAGCCAAAAAGTACCGTAACTGCTACCGCCGCACACCGCAACAAACGGCATCAACGCATAGCGCAAGGACGACAAGCAAGGCGGCACAATCCTTGCAGCGGGGCAGCAGGGCAGCAGAGCAGACACGGGCACCACACGGCCCGTACACAATTACAACTCTATGCGCGTGCCTGGCAAATGTAAGTGAAACGCGACAAAGGTAAAACACTAAGCATTTCCCTTCCGCTCAAGGGAAATTGAATTTTCTTTTTCTTTTTTTATTTGTATTACAAACTGCCATCGTCGTCGTCAGTCGTCAGTAATGATAACTGGCTATAGGACTATTAACAATTTGGCTAAACTACTTAACTACAACTGTTTGCCGTACACTGCAAGAAACAAAAAGTCCCGAAATCGAACGTGAAATTAAAAAATTGCTAGGAAGAATTGAAGAAACACGTACCCTGTAAGTTGCCATGAAATGTCAGTTTCAAAAATGTTCGCCACACAGTAAGTGACAAATAATTTTAGTTTTTCAATTTGGAAATATTTAAAAAAAAATGGAATTATTTTTTCTATATTTTGATATTTCAAAAATGTTCGATAAAAAGTTAAACGTACGCAGACAAGCCTTATTATCACATTTGAGAAAATTGTGAATGATTTTGACTTCTATTCGATCCCAGTGCGAAAATGGTTCGAGATTTTTGAACGTAACGAATTGTCCGAAAAACAAAAATATGTTCAATGTGCGGTACGGCTAAATTGTTTCTAGAGTCGGAAGGTGTGAGGGACTTTGAGGACTTAAAAGAAAACTAAAACTAATTGATGAGTTCGAGTGCAGCCGCAAAAAAGCCGATATTTAGCAATTGTTGTTGTCTGAGCGTAAAAAAAGAAAATCAGAGTCATTTCATGAGTATCTATTGCAAATGAAGAACTTGGCGAGTATTAGTAATATAGAAGAATCAGCCGTGTTGAGACATGTTGTAAATGATCTACAAATTTAGAGCGAGTTCAAATGCGCCATGTATCGTTGCAAGACATAAAAATCGTTGAAAGAAGAATGCCTCCAAAATAAAGTTACAGCTTTACTTTTTGGCATTAAATATAAGTATGTTGGACCGGAGGTTACGCACGTATTATCAGTCTCATGACGTCTGCATTTCAGATCCCTACGGATTATCGCCTATCAACAGTAATCTTTAAAAGATACTACATTCCCAGTGTTTACAAAGAAGGGGTACCGGAGGCCACGCGGCAGCTATTCCTAACCAACTATTCCCAACTGGAACAGGGTAACTCAAAGTTAATTGGCCAAAAACCGCCAAAACAAAAAAATAAATAAATTTCACAAAAAGCTTATTTAATGTTTTTGAAGTTTCTTAAATTGTGAATTTACTTCCACAATTCAGTAGAATATTCTGTTGACCTTAAATTTATAAGGTTTTCATTTAAATAGCTAGCTACTTACCTCAGTGTTTTGTGCAGCATGGCGGCCATAGTGGGATTGTCTTGCGTCAAATCGGGCGAACTATCAACGATCACATGCGTATAATCACCGCTGATCATTACCTTCTGCAGATCCGCATAGCGATCGTGTGGCGTAGGCTTACGTGTGGATAGGGTTGGACTTGCAACCGCATCTGCTGCCCCACCGCTGGGCATGCCACCGGCAACGCCGCCACTTTGGCTGCCGGTCGCCTGCGTGGAGGCCTCCTTGGAGCCCGATGAATTGCTGCAAAGAGTGGTGCACAAAAATGTCATAATTAGTTTGGGCACACTTGACAATGTGGGGCTAAAAAGCACGTTGCTAATTGCAACTGCCAAGTAGCTGGCATTTAGTTGGCAATGAGCATGCAGAGCATGACGATGACGATGATGATGATGCGAACAAGTAGCTGCAGGTGTATGCACCTGAACATACGCACTTGTTGGTATTGCCTGCATTTATCTAAAGACGCACACTAACACGCATACACACAAACACACACACACACACTCACTCACTCAGTCAAACACACAAGCGCCTGAAACTCACTGCAATGAACTAAAATTACAGACACTTGTGTGTGCATGTGAATGGGCGGTCCCATAAATTGTGGCATCTGAGTCACTACGCCAGGTAATGGGTTCAAAGGGCAAAATGCGCTTAAACTTAAATACCTGCTTAAATACCCGTAAATAAAGAGAGAAATCATATTCAAGTATTAATTAACAAAACCAAATCATATACATATTTAAAGAAGACTATTCTTAAATATACTTGTATGTGATTTTTCATAGTTTTTAATTAATATTTGTAGGTAATTGACATAGACGACTTCAAAATAAAATTATTATACAAGCTTGAAGATATTTAAATATATTCAAATTAATAAATGAAATATACTTTAATCTATTTCTTCCCTCCAGGAATATCTTCAGTTCTTTTTTTTTAATATTTTACAAATCAGTGGCAAAATGAACCTTTCTTCATTTGAAAGTGATGTCTTCTTTGAAAATACTTATATACCCGTATATAAAGAGAGAAATCATATTAAAGTATTAACTAACAAACCGAAATCATATGTGTATATAAAAAAGACTATTCTTAAACAAGTGATTTTTCATAGTTTTTAATTAATATTTGTAGGTAATTGTTGATTCATATATATACATAGATGACTATTAAATTAAATTATTAAAGGCTTTCTGTTCTGCGGCTCAAGGCAGATAGATGGAAGATATTTAAAATTAAATTAAATTAGTAAATTAAATATACTTTCAGTTCTGTTTTTTCTACAAATATTTCAAAAAATCAGTAGCAAGCTTTGAGTGAAGAAGCTTTGGTAGCTATTGAAAAGAACAATTCTAACATAATAACTTCCATTAGTATAGGAATAATTTTTGCATTTCCACTTAATCGTACATCATTTTTGTAACGCTAATATAATTTAAATAGACTTTCCCTAAAGGAAATGATCAAGTTGAAACAAATTACGTTTACCACTTCTAATTTAAGACGTATGGTCTCGCTTGAAAATATTACTCCCTCTGATTACATTTCAGGCCCATTGTGCATGGATAATATGTGCCTGTTTAGACAAGACGTCGGTAAGTGCTTGAAAAATGAATTAAAGTTTTTGAATTTGTTACACAACTTGAGTTACTCTTAGATAGGCGCTCAGACTTTGCTCGTTGGAAACCCAAGCGCTCAACACAGCCCTTTCAACGTGTCCTTCCTGAGATTGTCCTTATGTGGCTGCGGCTTGCCTTAACCTTTAAACAGGCCTGCATTTGCGCTACGAGCTCGTTAGTATAGAACATAGAGAAGAAAAATTTTCCCATGTGTGCTGGGCTATATAATTTGAGTGCAGCGCTTGTTGGTCATTAAAATGTATGGCAAGTGCTGGCAAAATATGCCCACACATAGTACGATAACTATTCAGTATGTGCGAAAGTGAAATCTGCATCATTAAAAGGCTCGAAGAAGGCTGGGAAGGGATGAGAAGGGCTCTTAAGCAAGATTTTGCTAGCGAAAATCTTGTCTTGCAAATTACGTTCGAAACTTTTGTGCATTGTCGTTTAATTTTTAATTGTTGCACACGTTGCAAGCGCCCGCGCTACTCCCCCCCTCCAAGTTATCTTTGTGTGTTGCTTGTCACTCAAAAGGTGCGCACATGTGCAGTATGCGGTGAGTGAGGGGGGCAGGGGCGGGGGCAGGGGCAAGGGCGACGTATTGGCGAGGCGTTGGCGCAAGTAAAATGGAAAACTTTTTCAATTAACAGTTGCCAGCATGCTTTAAACTTTGAACGACAGAAGGCCGAAGGCGGCGGCGGCTGCTGCTCCTGCTGCTGCTCGACAGTCTGGGTCTGGGTCTGGTACCCCGATACCATGGCAGCTTGGCAGCTCAGTTCCAACACCCAAGCCAAAAGGACTTGCTTTGCTAAGGGCTTATTAAGAATTTTTCATAACGCGCTGCTGCTGGCGTGCAGATTTTGCGCTTTTTATTGCGCACGCATTAAGCGTTTGGCCCTTAACGGTTACCCGCCAACACAAACCCACACACACAGAGAGCATTGTGGGACAACCACATAATGCCACTTTATGTGGTAATAAGAATTAAAAGCTTTTTTGTTATATTTAAAGCGCGCAACACCAAAACACTAAGCAGCCAACCAGCCAACCCGCCAACCAGCCAAGAAGACAGTCAGACTGGCAGACTGGCGGCAGGCAGTAAAGCAGGCAGTCAGTGAGCAAGCCAGTTGGCAAAACAAACAAGCTACCAGTGCGACCCCCAATGGTCTTTTCATATTTATGCAATATGCTAAATTGATTTTGCGGCCAAAGCGGATTACATGCCAAAAATGTTGCAGCTGCTGCCACCAGCGCCATCACCTACTCTGCCAATAGAGATGAACGATACAAGCAAGCCTGCGATTGGCAAATCACAGTATTAGAATGTTCTTGAGGTTCTTAAAGCTGAATAATGTGTTACTTCAAACTTCAAAAGAAAATCATTTTATACATGCATTAGAGAAACGACATTATGACAACGACATCCATGTTGTTTAATGATGTTAATGACATGTAACCAATGCCTGCCGCTGAGAGGTTGTTAATTCTCGCAAAATTTCCTTTCATGCAACTTGTTTTTGCCCTTTTTGCTTTAAATTGTTTGTCTTCGTTATTATGATAGAGATAAAGCTTGATAGACATACTAATATTGCGACGTTAGTGCTATTAAGTAGAACAATGGTGGGACCATTACACAAATTACACCAGAGGGAACAGCTCTTTAGGTGACTCTGAGCCATATGAATCAATGTAACTTCATTTAGAATTCAGTAAACAGGCATCTATACTTGTATATATGCCCCCTTATTAGAATAAGTTGATCTGCATACGACGAAAAAGTCCTAGCTTGACTGGCAAATGGTCAATATTTCGTATTTATAAGCATGTGTTAAGTAAACTCTAACTAATAATAATAACAAACATACAAAAAACTCTTTTACAATTGTGCTTAAATAGTTCAAAGTCCAAGATCTAAGCAACTCTTTGAGGTGAGATTTCTGCTGGAATTATTTCCCAGAAACTGTTTCGACTTTCACACTCTTTTCTCTACTTTCTTTTATTACTTGAGTGCTATAGAAGAAAAGTATTTTGATGCTTAAAAATGTTTGTAGAAATAGTAAATATATAATAATAAACTAGTATATAATAGAAATTGTCTTTATATAATGAAGTAGTATCTAAAATAAGCACGGAAAATAATTTATTTCAATTTCCAATATAGGATCCTGCTCGTCAACCTCATTTTTTAACCGTATTGCAATTCATTGCCAATGATATATATTTTCTTGATCAATATTTAAATCGATATTCACAATCATATTACAATTGGATGAAAATCACAGAATTGCGCACACCTAACCGCTTCAGCGTTGTCCTTTGTTATTGTGGCCTTTGGCATCGCACGAGTGCCTTGCCAAAACTTGCGCATTGTTTAGACTTTTGACTACGTGCTGCAGAGTTGCAAGTTTGGCGCGATTTCGTTTCCGACGACTGCTGCACGTTTTGCACAAATTATACAACAAATACGACAAATAACTCTAACGCAGTTCAGCGAGAGTCGATGCGGTTCGACGTCGCTGGCGGGTCGAGGGGCATGCAACATAGCGGGTCTGGTGCACTTGCACTTAATTAAACTTTACCGGTTACATGGCGCAACTTTGCTCATTAAACTGTCACGTGACGTGCGTAATGCAGACATTAGTGGCCATCGGCACTTTTGCTGTCAATCTGCTCGCAATAAGTGAGGCGCTTAATTAAACAATTTTCCAATTAACTGTTCAAATGTCAAGTGCAAATGCGTTAGATCCCACTCACTCAGAAAAAATATGTATGGCAGCTTTTTAGGAGAGATTTAAGATCTAAGAAGACGTTCCCGTTGCCCAATTGAATTGTCTTTGAGTTTTTAAAGCAGTTCCTTCTTTCAGTTTCTAAGTAATTAAATACAACTTTACATTACAATGCTATTGAAATGAAACACATTGTACTTTTGGGGCTAATGTTGCATTTTGACTGCAAGGCTTTTGGAAAGCACCAATCAAAAAAGAAAAAAAAATATACAAGTAATTAATAAACCAACTTAACAGTGTTTCATAATCCAGCATTTAAAGCAAGGAAGTTATATACTTGTATGTAGTACTACTTATATGGAATGATTCACTTGATTATGCAATATAGTTTTTAAATTGCGACTTGAGCCGCCAGACATCCCAGCCAGCACACAAATTGAAATTGCAACGACATGCGACTCGAAATCGAACAAGAATGAAACGCTATAGTCAAGCGATCCCAACTCCTTCATACCCTGTGCCCAAAATATATGAACTTTGGGAAGTCTGCCACGCCTCCTTTAGTGTTTTACATGCATTCGCACTAAACTATGCCCTTTTGTATGCAATAGTCTTTAAATTATACAAATTGACGTAGTGGAAGTAACCATTGACGGGACGCTTCAAAGGAGAAGATGTTCTTATCCCTCAAATTCTCTTTATCGCGACCTATATGTTCTTTCAATTCAAAAGGCCGACAATTTGATTGACGTTCGCAAACGCAATCAGTTAGGGTCAATATTTGGAATTGTGTGCTATAGTTGTATGCGACGAGAAAGTCTACGCTATACTATACTAAATTTATACTACTTATGTATATATATATTTATTTATGTGTAATTAATATAAAATA